ATCCTGCACAGCGCCTCCCGGAACCTGGCCGGTTAGCGGCGGCTTCGAGACCATAGCGAGGCATGAGCCAGAGTAGCCATACTAAGTGAGGGCAGCCTGGCAGCAGCATTAAGCGGGGAGTGGATGGCTTCACCCTGGGAGGAGAGAATGGAGATTGGTGGCCATCTTGCTTAGGGGCAAGCTGGCAATGTAGGTAAGTCCAGAAGGAGTTTTCCGGGTGCTAAGAAGGGATAGAACATTCTTCAGCGTGGAAATGTAGGTGGCGCCAGAGCTGGCTGGTGTCGATTTTGAGACCCACTGAAACGCTGAGATTGGTAGCCATGACGCATAAGGGCGGAATAGCGCTGGGGTTGGACTGTCGCGTGAACTTGGGTGAAAGTTCAAGATCTGGATTTGACCTTTGCTCTGGGCTTCCTGGTCACCCGGACGTTCGGTAAACCCGTACGTGGAACAGGAATCGCTGCTCGTCTTCTCCCTCGGAATTCAGTCTTTCAGCGTTTGCCTTTTGAACGCCTTCCTGTGTGAAGTGTCGCCAGAGCTGACTCTTGAAGGGCTTGGGAATTTAACTGGGCCGGGGAGCAGGGGGCGCAGGTACGTGCTAGAGCTGCCCACAGCCCGGCAGAGCAAAGAGAGAGGTAATGCACAAGGCTTGTGAGATCGTGAGGGATCAGATTACTCCAGGCCTGTAAATTAATTTTATCCTAAGGGTAATGAAGAGGCTTTGAAGGGTCTAAGCAGAGGTGTGAACAATTAATTTCTGGATCACTGCTTGTCCTGGACAAGGTGATGCCGCGCTCCTGTCTTGTACTTCCAGCAACTTAGGACATTGAAGCCAGAGGGACACTTGGAAGGCAGCTTGGGTCTAAAAAGAGCCGGGGAGGTGTGGTTCTGTGGTACAGTGTGTGCTTACCATATGTAAGACCTTAGGTTAAATCTATGACGAAGATAAAATAATAAATCACCCAATGTGAAGGATGTATCGGAGGGCCCAAAGTTAGAGACAAATAGAACAACTGTGAAGGTCTTACTCAGGAAAGAGATAAGGATATGATTCAGCAGTACAGCAGCTTGCGGCCTTGGGTTGGGTCCCCAGTCCGGCAAAAATTAAATTCTAAAAAAGAGGGGGTGGGCATAGGAGACAAAGATTGTGTTAGGAGAAATAAACGATCTCTGACTGGAGTGATAACGGGTTTTTGTTTGTTTGTTGGGTTTTTTTGTTTTTTGAGACGGGGTCTTAGGCTGGCTTTGAATTCACTGTGTAGCCCAGGCTGGCCTTGAACTCTCAGTGATTCTCCTGTCTCATCCCCCTGAGTGTTGGGATTACAGGATGCACCACCACACCCCGCTGGTCTTTGTTTTTAGTTTTCGAGAGAGAATGAATTTTAGGTGACAATTATTAGACAAATATTAAGACAAATTTTAAGACATTAGACAAATATTAAGTAAATGCGGGGTGGGAACCTAAAAGGTTTGAGTTGTGTTTTTGTGTATATAGATGTAAAATGGTCTGGATAAAGAATATCATGCATTTGAGGAATGCGATGAGGGAAGAAAGCTGAAAAGAGGACACTGAGAAAAGGTAAATGAAGGAAAAAAAAATCAGAAGAAAAGTACCAAAGAAATTGGTCCAGTGCTAAATGTAACAGGAAGCTCAGATAAGATATGGACTAAAATGTTTCATTGGATTTTGCAACAAAGTCACTAGTAAATTTAGAGTACTCTGTTTCATAAAGATGTGGGATAAAGCTGGGGATTTAGCTCGGTTCTGCCCCACAAGGACCTGAGTTTGATCTCTGGTACCAAAAAAAAAAAATTGTGGGATAGAAACCAGATTGAACTGGGAAGGCCCAATGTATATAGTTTGTTTTTTCCGAGATGTTGACTGAAAGGGAGGAATACCTTTAGAGTTTTGCATGAGGGAGAACTGCAAGTTTTAGGTCACACGTGGGACCACTAGGTGGAGATCATATGTCATTTGAATATGCATTCACAGATCTAAAATTTAGGAGTAAAATATAGTAAGTTGAAAAAAGCAAGTGAAGGAGAATACGGCACATTTACACTTACATTAAAAAATTAGTTGTGAGGCTGGATATTAGTTCAGTGGTAGCACATTTGCCTAGCATGTGCAAGGCCTTGGTATTTTATCCCCCACCTTGGTGGAGAAAATTAACCATGAAGAGTGGGCCTGGGATGGATGACACACTTTTTACTTTAGCTCCATCTTTACCATTTGAATTTGTTTTACTGTGAACATATATTATTTTTATAAGAGATTACTGTTAGGGGATTTAGCTCAGTGGCACAGCGCCTCACACATGCAAGATCCTGAGTTCAATCCCTGTTACCAAAAGAAAAAGAAAAAAAAAGATGCTACTGTTTAAGAACTCTCTAGTTTTATAGCCAGATCTGAAATACCAACATTTTGGTTGTAGTTGGGGCCATAGATTTGGATAAGCTCCTCAGAGAAGTGCAGAGGGCTGATAGCATTCTGGGGAATTCCAACATTTAAGGCACAAGTAGAAGAGCCCCCTGGGCCAGGGATGTAGCTCAGTGGTGCTGCTGCCTGCCTCCCAAGTACAAGGTCTCCAGTTCAATCCCTGGTACCAAAAAAAAAAAAAAAAAAAACGCCCC